CTCTCGGAGCTGTCGTATCGATCCGCGCACCGCTTCTTGCCGCAGGGCCCGACGAGGGTATCCTCGGCCATCCTAAACCTGTCCCTTGAACGGACTGCCCTGGTGTCTGGCTACGGCGACGCCGTCGTTGTCCGTCTTCACAGACGCGACCGCGGTGTTCTCGGTCACTCTCGTCGCCGCCTCCTTCTCCTCCATCTCCCGCGTCGCGACGGCGATGCTCGCTCTCCTCCCGCCGTCGTGATCCCCGCGGTCGTTCACTTCCGGTGCACTGTCCGCGCTCGGTGCCGAGCATCGCGGCAGCAACTGCTGCTGCTGCTGCTGCTGCTGCGGCGGCGGCAGCGACGGCGACGACGACAACGACGACGACGTGCCGTCGGCCGCCCCGTCGGCATCCTCGACACCGATGCGCGTTGTCGCGATGTTACCATTATTATTATTATTATTATTATGATTATTCCCGGTCATAATTCCCGCGACACCACCAGCACCACTTTTACTACTATTAATACTATTACTACTGTCACCACTATCACCGTCGCAGTCACTACCGACGCTGCCGCTGCCGTTCCCGTTGCCGATGCCGTCGTCGTCGCGGTCGCGATCGCGGTTCTCCACCACGACGCTCCGGACTATCTCGTCGATTCTAACATCACAGTGGTACGGATCGACACTGCCACTGCCATTGCCGCCACCGCCGTCGGCGCCGACGCTGACGCTGACGCCGACGCCACCGCAGGGCGCTCCGAAACCGATGCCGCCACCGCCGCTGCCACCACCGCCGCCGTCGTCGCCGCTGCCGACGACGACGACGCTGCTGTTGCTGTTCTCCTCCTCGTCGTCGTCGCTCGTCACGGTCGGCCCAGTCGTGTCGACGGACGACGGCGAATCCCCGCCGACGCGGTCGTCGCCGTTGTCGCGATGATTGATAAGTTGATGGCGATGGGGATTAAAATGGTAATGATGATAATGATGAGGCGATGGATGATGATGGTAAGAGTGACGGAGACAATGAGAATGCTGTTGATGACGATGGACACGGCACTCGTGGTGCGAACGATGATAATCGTCCGCCTCGTGCGGGAACGATGCGACGGCCGAGGCGTCCTCGTGCCCAACGACGCGCTGCTTCGCGGATGAGGCGGCGTCCTGTACCGACGTGAGGAACGGCCCCGCAGTCACGATCGGCTTGGTGGCGTCCGCGCGTTTGTGCCGCTCCCTCGTCGTCACGCGAGAATCACCGTCCCCCAGTCCCGTCACCACCGCCGCGGTCGCGTCCTCCGCCGCGGACGGGCCGTCGTCTGCCATCTTGTAAACGAACGCGCGCTACTGTGTGATCGTGTCGTGTGGCTCCGTGTCCGTGTCCGTGTCGTATCGTGTCTGGCAGTGGCCCCTATGGCACACACGAGCAGCACGGGCCGCGCTGCTGCTCCTCCGCGCCTACGATCCGGCAGCGCACACACGGTTCTCGGCCTCGGCTCGACTCGGCTCGGCTCGCGGCCGCGCGAGCCCCTCTCGATTTCCCACTCCACGTAACAATACGACAGCGGCGCCTCTCGCCGAGGCACTGCCGTATTATCGGCCGCTCGCTCGTCCCACCTGACCCCGACGACGTCCGACCATGCCCGAAACTATCCGAGCGCGATCGCGCCCGAAGCCGTCCGAAACTGCCCGAGCGCAAACGCGCGGCCGGCTAAAGGTTCCCCCTCCCCACGTCTGACACATCGGAAACAAAGTTTTAAAATTTACAAAAAAAATTTGCTGCGGTCTCCGTAGAATGTTTATTTTATAACTGTTTTAGATCTAAAAGAAAACTTGTAATAATTGCGAAATGTTCTGTCGAATTTGACCACTGGAAACTTTTAGGAAGAAACGGAAAAATAAAAAAAAATAGTACAGATTAGAAAAAAAAAATAGAAATCTAGATGATAGTGTAATATTAAAACATTAGTTTTTGTATTTTTAGTTTTGATAGAATTCGCAGGTTATATGCCATTATTGATATATGTATTTAAATTGTTCTAATGAATATAAATTTACTATGAAGATATCAAAGTTAGATTTTCATTCACTTTGATAAGATTTATAATAGATTAATGATATTTATAGTTTGATAAGATTTTATAATTTTTGTTTCTATTTTTAATTATCTTGAGTTTTACTTGTAACTTTTAAAAGACTTGCAAATATTAATTTTAACTTGTCATTGATAAAATTTAATTTTTTCATTTTTTAAATTTACTCGTCTTTTGAGAAATTACTAACATTAATTAAAAGTGACTGATCAAGTTATTATTTTATAGTATCGTTTTTTATCTATATTATATACATCACTTTTTTCTTTTAAAAAATCAGTTCATCATTCAATCAGTTTTATAAGCTTTTAATTTTTCTGTTTATTTCAAAAATTTTCGAAAAATTTTCCGTAATTTTTTATACCTCCTTTTATAATACCTCCTTTTTTACATTTAACCTTCCTTGAATGATAAATTATCGAATTACAGTTACATATTTTTTTATTTCGTTTCATTCTCGTTATTTCGATATAAAATTAAATTATGATTATACAATATATAATCTCGAAAACATTCCGCGATATGTTCATCGTGTGCGTCTGCGGATCTCTGCGTCTGAATGCAACGAGTTCGACGGACACTCAGTGACATCTCGCGACTCCATCGAGAAACAAATATATCGCGGTATTTAAATTTCTCTCTTATAATGAATCGCAGTCTTTTAATTAATTCGCAATTTCGAAATGATTGTCGTTTAGCTACGATGAGATATTTTAAGCTTTAAAATATCCAAAAAAGCAATTCATTAACGCAAAAATTGCTGTCTATATATTAATAAAATTGATAGAATCCCCTCTCTAATTGATTGCGACATTGATCAGCGCCATAAGATTTGAATCGCGTCAGTTACGAACGCGCCATGGCGACTCATGGAGTTGCAAGAGCCGTGCCGTGTTTTTCGTGAATGTTATCATCTAAAAATAAACTTTATGCGCGACATCGCGAGTGCTTTACGTAGTGTACCAGTGCTTCAATATTTTGTGTATCTAGCGTCGATCCTTCTCCTCGCATGTCTCACCAAATTGCGTCGCAAGCAGGAGCAATGCTCAACGATCAACGCTAAGTACATGTATGTCATTCTAATTAGCTGCATTACCGATACTGATAGAAGTGTCTCGTATTTAATTTTTGATCGGGAAATTTCTCCTCTTCGGGAAACGACCTCCTCTTTTGTTCATAAATGCAAACGATAATGCTGAGTTGAATGAAGTACTGACGTATATTGAAATTCTCATAGGTTGGCATGGAAATTAAGACTTCTAATTTATAAGAAAATAAATTTCGATGAAGATAATATCTAAAATATGTCAAGAAAAAATCCGACAACCGTCACGTTGTACGAAGATATAGTTTTCGTCATTTGTGTGACAGTTTCATCAAGCGTACTTCGTGCGATCGTAGTTGCTAGAATACGATAAACTTTTGTATCGAGTTAAATATTTGATAAGTTTTAATAAATATTGAAAACTATTTTTTTTTAATATAGTAACGTTTTATTTACTAAATTTTTATTTTTTCTATATTTATTGATTTTTTGTTATATCAGAAAATCTATGTATTTGCAATACATATAAATAGATTTAGCATGAATTGAGCATAGAATGAGCTAAAAAGTTGTATCACTTTGTTGCATCACTTTTATTTTGTAATACAGTTAAAATATACAAAATGAAGACTCAATATTCGTAAAATTGAAAAAATCAATTATATTTTATCGAAAATACTTTATTTCAATAATACTGCGAAACAAACGGTTTACATACGAGCACCGTAACAAATCGTGTACATCGTGGAATGTTAATCGAAAATTACCAGCAACAATCAAGTCGTTTACGCGTATAGCTATAAGACACAGTGGTGTGCAATATTAAGAGAATTAAATTCGCGAGAATTCGCGTGAAGGAAATAAAAATTAAATATAAAAGTATTTTAATATAGATTTCGCTTAAAGATTCTTTTCATTTGTGTACATTAAAAATCCTTCATCTTTATAATTTCGAAAGATGAAGTTCTCGTAATTTCTTCGATATAAAACTAGAATATAACCAGAAACTAGCCACTTTCTTATTATCTGCTTTGTTTCGAATCGAAAGGTTGGATTAAATATTTTTGATTGAGCATTAACAAGTTTTCATTAATAAACATCTTTCAGTCTGATCTTACGCCTCTTCTTTGCTCGAGAAAAATTATAAAAATATCTTGTGCGTAACTGTTGTAATCAAAATTAATTAAATTCCTCGCTGTATTTAAATTCTTACTAAAAAAAATAAAAAAAAATTGTGTTCCTCACTTATAATTAAATTGCAATTTAAACTTTTCCTCGACTGGTTTTCGCGAAGAACTTTCGCACGACGATATTGCGGCGTTATGCGGCGTATATACTCATGTAAAAAATATTCTAATCCTTTATAAACGTTTCGTTGTTGCACATAATATTATATGCGTATAATAATCATCATCGTTTGATAATGACAATTATAAATTATTATTTGTTTCATAATATAATGTTTTATAAGTACATCGAAGGCGCGAAACAAATCCACCATTTGCACGATAACGTATCATCATATTATTTTTTTACTTCGATTGAACAACTTTTGTTGCAATTAAAGCTTGTTTAGGCGAATCGTCGATAAGATAAAGGTAAGGTTTTTCTAAGTTTGATCGCTTTCGTCGCGTTTCTTCATACATAGTCGCGATGCGTCTGCTAATTCCGTTAGTAAAAGAGTTTCCGAATCGGGAAGACTTCTCGATTCGTCATCGTTTAAGCGACTAGCACTTCGAGCGAGCTTACGGTTACGCCTCTGTTTTTTCCTCTCAGTTTTCAATTTCGTAAATTCGCTTTCGGCATTGTCGCTGGAACTTGTCGAAGAGCTCGTAATGCTGGACAGATCATCGTTTATTCCACTACCAGGAAAACTCGCCGGTTCGGGATAAGTGGCGCTCGATCTCATCGACTGTGTAGATTCCTGTGTCCTACGGTTAAAATAAAGAATTTTATGAAAAAGGAAGATGATCCCATGACAATGCGAAATATAGCTTTCAAGCCTCTAATCGAGTTTGACCTAAAAAAATATATTATTAAAGGAACTTAATTGCATTAAAACTTTTAAATCTATTAAAATGATTGAAAGTAAATTCTTTTTGAATAAGATCTTTTCGAAAAAGAAGATTTTGAAAATGAATCGAATATGCATGCGTCTGACTGATATTTAATATAATTTTACGATCTTCTTAACTAAATAAAAAATATAATTAGTAATAAATAAGATTATTTTTAAAAAATAATTTTATTTCTTTTCAATATTTTTATTTAGTTGAGATATTGAAAATATTGGCTTATTATATACAAAGTTGTATATATATTTTCGAAATTAAATTAAAACGAACTGTTTCGTGTATATTTTGTCTTTTCAAATGTAAAAATGATTGTTCCCTTCGACTTTTAAAGTCCTTTTTTTCAGAAATGTATATCGACTGTATAGCGAGAAAAAAATCATTTCGACTGATTTTGTGTCATAAAATCACCACATATTTGGATCATTTTGCACATTCTCAGTTATCGAAAATCTTTTTCTTCGGATCGGTTTCGGATTTATTACAAACCTAAAATCTCGTCTTTCATGCGAAGGTTCTATACTACTCGCTGCAGCCAAAGTTCCTGCTCGTGCGGGTGCACTCCTAGAAAATGTCTCACGTTTGTAAGATTGTGCGACACCTGGAACGTCAACGGGATCACTCGGTGGTGGCGGTCCTTGCGCAAAGATACTTTGTACATGGGGCCTATTGTCGTTTGATTGTCTTAACGATGTAAGTGTCATCTGCTCGTCGACTTCCTCGATGACGCCTATTCTCATGGAGCCACCTGCAGCTACAAAATTCCCACGTGTCTTATTTCGTTCGCAATTATGTTGTCCTAACGTGACAAAAGACTTAACAAAAGACTTACCTTGGGATTGTCGTACTTGCAATGATGCCGCTGAACTCGAGCTCGGCATCTTTCCTGATGTTTTGGCGATATTCGTGGCACTTCCGTCCGTTCTATCATCCTTACTGAACAATCGTTTAAGTACGCTAGTTACGCTGCTTACCCTCGTGAGCGATTCACCCAAATTGCTAGAGGTCGAACCGCTACTAATAGTGCGATCTCGATTACTCATTCTGCTGGCGCTTCTAAAAAATTAGCGAAACTTAGAATTGGAGAGATAAGACTTAACTTGATTTAACTATATTTTTTTACAAAACTCCGATAATTAATATTACCAATATTATAAATAAGTTTACTATTAAAACAAAAATTTAAATATTATTACTTTGTATTAAGTATATATATTTGAACTTCAAGTTTTATGTTTTATCATCCATTTTTATCAATCATTAATCTCATTAATCTCTTGATCTCGATTCAATTTACTTTTTAATTATATTTTCTAATCCTTAGAATTAAAAAAAAAAGATAAGAAAATAAATTAAATCCAGATTAAAATTAATTTATATTGGTAGAAATGGACATTACTTTTCTATGTCGTGAAAGATATAAATAAAAGCTACCTTATTAATTTCTCAGTACTCTCTGTACTGCTTCTGAGTTTGCATTAAAAAAATTATAATACGTAAATAAATATATTTCTCTTTCTTAAAATGAAATAAAGAATATTCTATATTATATATAAATATAAGAATATAAATTATATTTATTTATTTAAGATATATAAAATTATATAATCTGCGCTTACCGGGACAGTTTTCCACTTGCGGTGAAATGTATCCCCGACGCGGCATCGTCGGCGATGTCGGAACGAAATTTCTGATCATCCGGTACCATATCGTCAATTTTGACCGATGACGGTTGCAATTCTTGTTGAGCGGCAGACAATTGTATACCGGCTGTTGAGGGTTCAGGCGGTTCCTCGCGGGGCTGTGCTGCAGCAGTGTACGGGAGTTCCGTGGGGAAAATCTCATCCCAATATTGATCGCGTATGAGTTCAGGATGCTCGTGATGCATCTCGTCAACAATCAGATAGCTTACCTTGAAAACGAAAAAAATAGCGGCATTATTTCTGAATTTTAAGAGAGAAAGAAATAGAGCAAAGGTGCGCGTAATGAGAGAAAAGAGTTCTTACTTACTTGTAAATTGCGATCGATCAACCAATTTACTTCGAAGTCATCGTCATCCTCACCGAACGGATTGATTAGCGTTTCGGCTACTTTCAACCAGCCCATGTAGAAAAAAAATTGCAACGTCGCGAATATCGGGAAATACAGATCGATCGTCGTGTTTGATTTTTGAACCCACTGACGACTCATTACGCTGGTTAAGAAATATGTATACACGGCTAATGTTACAACCTATAAAAATAGAATGTACGATTTGATCGCGGTAAGTCTGCAATAAATTACGCGACTTTCTCAATCCAACGTAGATTAATCTCGGTTTATTTATTCGATACGCGGTAATTTATTCTTTATTTTTTAATCTAATCTTTAGAATTAAAAAAGATAAAAAGATTAAACCCGAGATTCGGCTCGAATAGTCTTCTTTGTTTGTATTCTCGATTTAATCTACATTGCTAGAGATGCGCATTAAACGCATTTATTTTATTTAATTAAATGTTATATATTCTTATTGCATTTCTTTTTAGATAACATTATATTTCTTGCGATTTAAATAGATTCTAGCCCTGTACCTGAGTGTACACTAACGGGACGCTAATCGTATCGTAGTGTAATATACTGCCGCACATTCCGCGAAACTTGTTAAGTTCATCGATGAGAGTTTTAACTGCGAAGTCATCACGTATTCGACCCTCCTTCCGGGCACGCGTTACGATACTGGAAGCCCAGACTATCGGCAGCCAGTGCTTGCTCGGCTTTGGGAATTTCGCGTTTAGACTTTGGAATATCGACAGCTCGTTCTCCAATAAGAGGCCGCTCTCCACGAAATGCTCCAGAGTGGGAAATCTTTTTTTGACGCGCGGCGCAACATTCGTTAAGACCACAGTCAGGCAGACACACACGTACCTGAGGGGAAAGCAAAAAATTTATTTCTATTAGAATTAAAGTCATATGTACAGAGTCGTTCAAAACGAACCGTTCGGTATTACGTAAACTTTACTTTAATAATTTTTTCTACTTTTATCTACGGGACGTATAAAAATTAAATACTTATGACTCAATTATTTTTGACTTAATATTATAATAAACAATGTGTATACTTTAGAAGAATAATTGATTTTTTTCTCTATCACTTGAAAGAAAGAACTTAGAATTATAATACATTAAAATGTTTTCCTTTGAAACTTAAATCGGTAGTAGTTTATATGCACCTCTTTACATGTGCATAACTTTACATTACACGATACCTAAGGATCGTACGACGCATTAGACGACCGCGTTCGTCGTTCCCGTGTATAGTGGCCGATACGAAGACCGCGATGGAATCGGGCCATGGTATGGCCATGTATTGATTCCACCACCTGGTCATGACGATACTGACATAGAAACCCAGGACGAACGACAGCGGTATCAGGTCACTGTATTCGTTGCAATATGCCACCACGGATTCGAACACCCTCTTCTGCTCCTCATTCAGCAGCAATCGGTAGATGCCGGACAGGAAATAGTAGAGAAAGAGGAAGAGCGTCAAATCGAGCCAGACGAGTTTGTAAACGCTCGCCCGCCATCTGAAACAAATCGCGCGGCTCGTAAATTGGAAGCAGACCCGTGTAGAACCATCTGTCGAACGAGCGATGATCTCTTAGCGGTACGACAAAGATCTCGATGATAATAGTGCGCTTTAGGATCTGACGAGATATTAAAACCGCATAGCGATAAAACGCGATAATGTTGCTCGCGTGTTGTTATCGAGCGGAAAGTCCATAATTTTGCTATGTACCTTCGCTTATTGTTAGCTCCTCGCTACTGGCAGCGGCATTACGATTTGAAGTGTGTCAACTTTGCGTGACAAAGACTATTTTTGACTATTTTTTTTTGCAAACACAGAGGTGGAGAGTATGTTATGTTACCCGCTATTTGCGATTGGAAATATTCCAATGTAATTCGCGATTCTATTTTCAGGGACACTCGCGGCTCACTTGTGAATATTATTAACGTTTATCAAACCTACGCGAAACAATTAATAAAATGAGAAAGCACAATCATTCATTATATTTACGTTACATTAATTTGTGTTACAAATAAGAAATTGTAAATAAAAAAAAGAAATGTGAAAAAAAGTAAGTATGAATGAAGTTGTAATATTAATATGAGGTGAGAAATAATAATGACGTCGAAACGAGGGATAAAAATTCAAAAATAATAATTTATATATAATAATTCATGTTAAAATAAATAAAAGGAAAAATATAGAGAGAGATATAAATATCGAGAAAGAAATAATGATGAGTAATAATCCCAACAATTTTAATGACACAATCTCTATAAAGAGCAGCTCGAAATTTTTGACAAATAAAACACTCTAATTAATTATAATTGGCTCTCGTAAAGCAATCTCGTAAATGTCAGCAAATCCTCAGTTTCTCACCTGAGCAGCAACTTGAGGAAGCAACCGAAGCCCCTGCAAGTGGCTACCTCGGCAGTGTAGCTGACCGTCATCTCTCATCCGGCACGTGAATCGTGTCCCACGTGGTTACTCTCTTTTTCTTACTCAACTCTTCGTGCTACGCTCGCACTTTCGCTGAGGGAAAGCCCGTGGCATCTCCCAAAGTACCGAGAGGTCTCGTCCTCTCGTCGGGATGACAACCGGTGTCAGCTCGTCTTCGGCATCATCTCCGGCTCCGTTTCCTTGAAGCAGCCGAGCCGCCGGTCCACCGGTGAGAGATCATCAAGGTCATCGTTAACACACGATCGGACCGTCTCTGACGCGATTACGTAAGCTGTATCGGCGGAGGTGGGACAAACTCGTTAGCTTCAATAGACGCACTTTTCGCGTTTCGCGAGAATCGCCACTGTCAATGGAGCTATTGTTTGAAAAATCTATTCTCGCTTGTGACTCTTCTTCGTTTCGGACGCTCGGTATAGTAACCTTCTACAGTGGCACGAACTTGGCGTAGTTTTCTCCTCGCTTCGTCACGTTTAAATTTATTACGTGCTGTTATCAACGTCTTTTATCATACGTTATCAGGCCAACATACAAGTTCGTAAATTTTTGATGAAAATTTTTTTCGATAACTTGTCTAGCGTTATGAATACAATCGCGTGAGAATTTATTATCTCAGAGATAACTTCAGAAAATTCTGAATTATTGTCACCTTGTTGATATCACTGCTTTTTTTTTTGAAGCATGAACATTTATTAACGTTACAGAATTATATGATTATATCTGTTTATATGATTATTTCTGCAAACCAGATATTATTAAAAATTATATCTTCTTAGGATTCTATCTTGAGAGAGAAGAAAGATTTCCTCTCTGACAGGAACTAAATGTCTTTTCAATATTCCCACGATATCTCTGAGGTCTCCTCGAAGATAAATATTTGACAAAACTAACAGAAATTTGTTTGAAATTTCTTAAGACATATTTCATGTAATATTAAAGGTCGTCCGCATCAAGGACAGTAATTATGTCGTTTGTTAAATAGTTTCTCTGTAGATATCAAGCTTCTCTAATTTTCTCAATTGAAGAATAGATGTTTCCTCGTGCGATAAGTTGCATGCTAATACTTATTAAGCGATTCCGTGTCTTCAACTTCCTTGAAACCGATTCCCAATCTGCAAGAAATAGACCAATTAATAAAAGTCAAAAGTAAAAGTAAAAAGAAAGACACTATGAAAAATTACACATTTATTTTTCGAGATTAAATTTAATTTACAAATCTCTAATTTAGAAAATTAATTTTGTCCTTAAGGTATTAAAAAATTCCATAAGGATGAATAAGATTTTTCAAAAATTAGTTCTTTAATAGAAATTAAGATACGTTCGAATTGAATTCATTCCACATTTCACATTTGTAACTGCACTAGTTCGACCGGGAACGATCAATAAGAAAGATTCAAATAGATATGTATGTAGAATTCTGTAAATGTGTAGGTGTAGATTGATCAGTACGGAAAAAGAATAAAAATACGATTTCACTTTTTTTTTTATTTTACCGCCTAAAGGATCTGATTCTCGGAGTAATGATTCATTCGCGAAAATAATTAATTCGAGTTCTTTCAATTTATCTACATTCTTGGGGGCGTATTCTGTCTTACAGTACTCGGCCTCGAATGTATATGTCGTTATCACCACGAGTATGTATTGCACCATACCGAGGTACATTCCGTACCGGCGACCGCCAGTCTCGGTCGATCCTCGGAAGTATCACGGGTTTGTTGGTTGACGTCATTGTATGACGGAACCGAGAACGCTACCTACTCGTGACTGATTACTAATTAGCAAATTAAACTTCACTCCCAGCGTAATCTAGATCCACCGGTTAAAACTTTTTTATGACGCGACTGTCATCAGCGCATCATAAAAGTGCGAGTCGCAAAGCGAGAAAAAACGCGTGGAAATAAGCAACGTAATATTATTTACATGTTACATGCGGCTTCAGAGATAATTACTAGATATAATAATAGAGTCGATTTCCATTTTGCAAAACGATGTCTTATCGTGCGCTTTAAACGCCGACGTCCTACTAGACGTCAACGTCATTCCTCGCGCGCTTAATCATCGCAGCTTAAATCCCGACGTTGCGAAATAAAATTTCATTTCGCGAAAAATTACTCTTTGCGACGAAACGAGAACATATGTCGATTCCGAGTACTGTCAGGCAATTTTCGACCTTGGTTCGCGTGTAACGATATCTATCGTGTCATAAAATTCGCGCGCCGCGTGCGCTTCGCTGGAATCAGCTGTCATATCACATTCCTAGATTAATAATCACAATAATAATCGATTACAAACCGATTACAAATTATACACCACGAGCGTTCCAAGTACTAACGCGGATGCCAATATAAAAAAGGCAAGTTTCTTTCTTGCTCGCACCAATAGGAAGATTTCCAGGTAACAAAGAGAAAGAGCGAGTTGTAACGCAGCTGGGGCTTAGCATTAGAATCCTGTCGGCCTTTCTCTACTTGCCTTCTGGGGATCAATCGCCACTCTCGGTTTTATTCTACGAAACTCGGATTTATTGTACGTCGGTGCGCGTAACGACGCGTGTGATTTCGGATCGGATTAAACGGACGCACGGTTCGCGAGGGAATTTCCACGTGTCGTGTCGTTACACAAACGACCAAACGTCCATCCGGCACCACCAGCCAGCACTGAACCAACAGCCGCCGCAACACGCCAACGACATCCCCTGTACCCTCCTCTTTCAACCTCCGCAGTCCATCCCCTCCGTCGTCCCGTATTTCCGCATCAGTGGTGCTCACAGTCGGACTATTCGTTTTGACCCTGCCTTTGTGAAACGCCTCTGTGTGCCAGTCGTTTGTAAACGCGGTTCTCAGAGTAAAATAGCTTCGTTTATCGATTATCTTGTACGATCACGCGAAGTTAATTAGAGTGAAGTTAATTCCGCGAATCACGCTCGTAATCTCTTTCTCAAACTCATAATAAATTTTTCACATAAGAACATATGTAATTACATACGAAATATGTCCATATATGTTCATATTAGTTTTTTTCGTTTTTTGTAAAATTTTTATTTGGTGTAAGGAAAGTAATGATAATAATGAGAAGACAAAATAATTAAAAGGATAATTTCCGCATTGTTTCTTTTACAAAAGAATCAAATTTGAAGATATTAGAAAAAATTGCCTATTTATAATCGTATATATTTATGATTAAAAGTAATTTATGATTAAAATCTTTTTAATTATTTTTTATGTCTTCTCATTTATTACTATTATTTTTCTTACACCAAACAAAAATCTTACATATGTCGACGTATAATATAAACATATGTCGACGTATATAAACATATATCGACGTATTTTATATATAATTTTATATATATATATTCTTATATAAAAAATTTTTTTGCAGATATTTTATTTTAAAATCTCTTTCTTTTTATTATTTGTTCTTTTTATTGATCTATTCTTTTTAGCTGAATTTCTTGCATAGTTTATTTTTCTTCTTTTCCTTTCCGTGTTGGAGAAAAAGAGAAAAGAAAAGAACAGACTTTTGAATTTCAAAGATATCAATTCATATCGACGTTTGACGCTCATATCGAAGTAGGTCACATAATCGAGATTGTAGAATTTGAATGGTCACATGATCTATTTTGATAAAAATGAGTGTTCAGTGTTAAAGAGACTTCTTTATATAATCGATCGTAACGTTGTATCTTCAGTTTTCATTTTTATTTAAAAAATATTTATATATGGACATGGGAATGTATGCAAAAACATTTCGTTTGCTCTGACTCGAGGCTCGTCAAATTTGCTGATGGAACTTACTGTATATGTTAATTAAGCGATGATAGATCGCTGATTAGCTTTGTAGAACGATTGAATAAAAAAGTAATGGATTAGTAGAAACGAAATGTAGACAAGTTGATAGTTGACTTTTTTCTTAATACTTTTCTTTTAATACTCTCCTTACATTGGTAAATGCACACAACAATAATCCGATCTTTATCAAAATACTATAAGATAGCACGGGTAGCGTGTTATCAGTGTAACATTTAATATGCATTATCCAAATTAAAAGATTTCATTATTTCATATTTTCTCTGATATTATAACTGGTAGTGACATAACAATTAGTGTAACAAAAACATATGTGTACCATTGTTATGTCATAATTTACGGGGTGTTCCAGGTGATTTCGTCGATCGACCGGAAATAGGATAAACTCGGCACGGTCATTCTTTACGCATCCGCGCCTGTTTCCTGCTTCATTTTACAAACGATACGATATCTAAAACGACGATGAACCAAAAATTTACTTAAAAAATAAATCGGCTTAATATATAAAATCTGTCTCTTCTTTATAACGGTCATAAAATACGCATCGCGGAATAATATAGATATAGATATATACATATGAACGTTTCTCTTTTTACTCTTTTTACAACATCTTTTTACTCTTTTTACAACATCTTTACAACATCTTTGTACACTTATTTTAAAGATATATGAACAAATTAGAAATGATATTTATACGTTTGCCTGTGTCTAACGTTGGTCTTTCATATGGTATGTTCGCGAAAGTAGAAGTTGCGGTTTGTGTTCGAGTGAAGTTCTAGATTGAAAAGAAAAATAAAATTAAAGAGGAGATACTTGAAGTAGCGCAGCGTAGACTTTCACTCGAATCCGGCCTGTCTGACGCAATTACAACGCACAGTCCGCCCTTCAACGCAATTATAACGCACAGTCTTGGTCCCTAGAAGTCACAGCCATTAAATGCAACGAACGATCTGAGATTTAAGGCCACTGGATTTTAAATCAGCGATAACCACGATAACTCGAACCCGAAAAATGGCAATGTAATGTTAGTTGTTATCGCGATGTCGATAACGAGAACGCCACCATGGGCAAGCGATGATGCGCATTGCATCATGAACGAGGTTTCGTTTTTTAATAATCTACGTTTGGTTCCGTGGTGATGAGCGTGAATTTCCACACTCAGTAACACGAACTATGGTTTAACTAGCTCTTCTCTCATATGTACATTAGAACTACAATTATGTTCATTAGAACTACAACTATGATCTTACAAAGGGAATCGTCAACCAGAGATAGTTAATATAGTTAATTATTAATCAAGATTGTCAATGCATACGGCTCTGAGAGATTTGAAGATTCCCTTGCTAATCGGTAAAGGAACGCGTGGCTTTCGAGGGAAAGGGCGAAAAGCGGTTCCTTTCCCCTTTTTTTCGGCGATCGGTCGGGTCGATTCTCCGGGTTAATGAGATGGACATACTTCATCTCGATGTGATTGTACTTGTCACGCGACAATAGTTGTGAGAGCGTTGCTTTTGCTTCTGTAGCTGCCGGGTCTGTAATGAATAATTAATGATAACGTGACACTTGAGCGAGCGAACAATGCGGAATTCATAGATATTGTTTAGAGTAATTAGGCATAAGTGATGCTGTATACCTGATAGTAGCGTGTTGCGAAGAACGCGACCATCCAGCGATGAAGTTGACTTCGCCTCTCTGATTGCTAATACGCTGCCGAAGAATTTGGTCATCGCTTTTTGCGTCGATTCGCCGTGAGACAATGTGCATACTATCTGGTACGATAGTGGACTGTATCGCCTTATATACCAACCTTAATTTATAAAAAAAAAGCAGTGAGATATCCATTGAAATCAATTGTTAAATTATTGAAAAAGAAATAACAATAAATGCTATCTTTTTTGTAACACTATATAATTTGTACGAAAATTATACAACCTGATATAAGAATTATAATAACTTATTTATACGGAATATATAGCAAAAAAATAACGACAATTTATAAAAATTTATATAAAAATTATGCAGACTAATATATATAAGATTTATAATAATTTAAACATACGGAATTTTAAATAGAGTTTAAAATGAAGTAAAAAACAGAAGATAAATTTAAAATCGATTAAATATAAAAACTAGAGAACCAGAAGATTCATCTTTGAATTAATATTGAATTAAGATTTGAATTAATATTGTTTACACAATTGCAGAAATTAGTCATATAAGACAAATATACCTAGGCATTAAGGCAAGAACAGAAGTAAGTGCCACTGTCAGCCAATATGTAGGATGTGTAAAGGCCTTTTCCATTACCCAAAAAGATCCAGGTAGACCCATGCAATTGACGCAAACGGCATTATAAAATAAGCAGAATCCGAAAAAAACGCCCAAGGAACCGAAGATGGCACCAACATGGATTATAGTCTGAAATAAATAGCGTCACGATAACATCCGAGACATATTTCTCTTCTCTCTTATATATATCTTATTTATCTTTATTTCGTCTTACCCAAGACCTAATTTCTATACCAGCATGAGCTAGCATGACGACAATACACGCTGTCATGATGGTCGTTCCGAACTCCCATATGTCGATAACTGAATCGTGATAAACCTAAAAGAAGCGAGACAATAAACATTTATTGTATACTTAGACCGAGACGATACATTGTGACGATCATTTTTAGCGAGTAAAATATCACCAACCTCTTTGGTAATAAAGAATATGACGATACTTTGGTAAAAAGCGTCGATGATCGTGAGCCAAAAGGAATGTTGCTGGTATACCAATCCTAGGCGTACCCTTGTGTATAATTCCGGCGCTGAAAGTAACACGCGAGCCTTGGCAACTCGATCATAAATGCCCAAGACGAGAGGCGGCAGCGAAGTAAACAGCAAGTTGTATAGCATTAAATATATTTGGTCTATCATTACGGTGCCGGAAAAGCCGCAAAACAACTGCGGGAAAAGAGAAAAAAACGATATTATTATAGACATTTCTGCTTGATATATCGATACTTTTTATCTATTACTAACTTACTAATTTTGCGGAAAGCAGTTTTTCTTTCTCTTATTTTCATGTACATTCTGTCGCTTATTTACTTTTATATTTACGTGCTTTCTCTTTACATATTCATTTTACATATTTCATTTTTATTTTCGATACTTACTTGAAACCAGAATATGAGGAAGACAAAGGTGGCGTTTTTGTAAAAGAAATATAAAATCATTCTGGCGAGGCGGTCGTAACACCAATGTCCATGTAAAAGGAGGAGTCGGCTGAGCATGGAAAATCGAGAAATCGCGAAATCCGCTGCCATTACCGCTTGCGTACCTTCCTGCCCTGAGATGCCGACACCCACATCGGCAGTCTGTATCATACTAACATCGTTCGCACCATCGCCGATTGCCAGCGTTCTCATTCCTAATTGCTTTTTAACAATGCGGACTATGTATGCCTGCAATGTAAACCGAATTATGTTAATCCTCCATCGCTCAGCTACAAATTACAATTTATTTTAATCTGATTTCGTCGATTATCGTTACCTTTTGCAATGGTGTGGCGCGGCAGGCTAAGACGCTGGAGCAAGTTTTCGTGAGTTCGAGGAACGGACCGGTGAGGCCCGATCGCGGGTCTAGGATCACGGTTAACGTTTTGCCATCTACGACGAGGGCGCGTTGCCGTGGCCACGGACTGCCGATTCTGTGCGCATCCCTCTCGGCGGAATCGCGGTTATATATGCCGGCAGGATCGGCGATGCCCATCATGTCCGTTGGCTGCGATGGATGACCGTTTACGTTCTCTTTGCGCGCTGTTTCCAGATAGCCGTGTATGAGCGCCTCGGCCACAGATTTCGATCTTGCCTGCAGCTGTAGCAGTTGCATGGCTGGCGAGAAGAGTTGTGCCGAGTACGCCACGTTCACCGCGGTCTCCGGCTTGTCCCCTGAAACGGAAAACGCGAGCGTATGGTATGACGTGGGACTCGCATTAACGCGCGCTAATTACGTTCAAGAACGCGGACTGGTTCCGACGGGATATTTACTTCTCATTGGCTTTCGATACGCTTGCCTTCGTCATTTTTTATCCATCGTCTTTACATAACAGCATTTATGTAATAATAAGTGGAAATAGCTGGCTACATTAAAGAAATTCATTTGTGATTTAATGCGAAACGCCTCGTAGATCTATCTCTACGATGAGCTCTACTAAAAGATCGTACTAAAAATAATGTTGTGCCGATGTCAAACCGATGGTTTGTTTCGCACGCTCGGTGAGAAAGCAAGCGATTCTTCACGAACCTGTCAGAACCCATACGACAATCCCGGCGGCGATCAGAGCGGCCATTGTTTCGGGCACACCGGCCTGAAGCTTGTCCTCGATACCGGTCGCACCCAATAATGTCAAGTGCGATTCCAGCATCGCGTATGAGTCGCGTATACGACGCTCGCGATTCTCCGTCGCCAACTCCACCTCGTTGTGCTTCTCCCGCCAGATCTCGTATTCCTGTGTCGTCAGCGTTCTCTTCGCCATCACTAACGTGCGCAGACCCTGACGTCCGTACGATTGCAAGTAGTGTCGTATACTCGCCGAGCTGACGGCGTTCTCGTCGCTCGACGCGAGTGCCGGAAGCATCGTCGTGTCGGCGCCTTTGCTGTACAGAACTATCTCGCCCGTGTGAGGATGCTTGAGCAGCACTGACATGCATTTCCTGTTCGAGTCAAACGGCAATACCTGCAAGCGTTCAAGAAGCGACAACTCGTGAACTCGAGTGAACACGTTTACATCCGTCCGAATGAATTGCAATGCTCATAACCACCTACGTGAAGTATCTCGAACGCGAGGGTCGACTTGTCCGGGAAGGATACAATCGCGCTACGAGGCGTCCGCTTCAGCAGCTTGACGTCGTAAGCGCGCGCCGCGTGAACCAGCGCCAATTCGTCCGGGCTTTCCGCCTCGTAGATCGCCGGACTCTGCAGCAGTTCGTCTCCGTTCTTTGTTTCCGGACTGCGTCTTTTCGGTCCATCTGGCGAAAATTTCCGTCCCAACATCCCCAGTCCGATCCCCAGACTCGGTATTGCTGTTACGTTCAGTAATTTTGGTCTGCAAAGACATCGCTTTGTTAAATATCTTTGTATCACGCGTATCTTCGTGTGTTTATTGTTGTTACCAACCTGGAAATTTTAAACGGGAATTTCGAAGTGTCGTCAAACGTGTTTACCGTACTGATTACAGGTGATACTGGAGATAAGGTTCGGATAGCTCTATTGCTCGGAGACAGCGGTATCGGTGGAGAATTCGCATTCGGAAATGAGCTCGCATCCGATTCCATTATTCTGTCGAATATCTCAGTATTAATTTCATGAAGGAATACTTGAAATGTGACTATAATTTCTCCAGATTAAATATGATCAATAATCACACACGTCTAACTAATAATTAGTTATCCTCCTTTTAAAAATAAAATGAATTTTTGTTTTATCCCTCTTTATTTTGTCATTGATCTAACGTATACGAACCTCATAGAACCAGTTCCATTCTTTTGCGGTTCCTCGATGACTCCGCTAGAGTTCATAATATCGTGATGCGGTTGAGAATTTACAACAACTGTGTTACACGTGGCTAAGACAACAAGAAACTCCTGTAAGCGATGTCGAAATGTACTTATGAGCAGATCCTCCTTAAGTCGCGAACACGGAAGCAGATTCTCGTTGTCGCCCATGTGCGAATAATCTTGGCCGCCTACCACGCATCTTCTAAATAGCATTTTGTTTTCCGTAAGGGTACCAGTCTTATCGGAAAAAACGTACTGTACCTGTCATTCACAATAATAATATTTTAAATAATAAGTCAAGAGTGTAAAGAACGGACTATTTAAGCCGAAGCTAGATGACAATACTATAAATATATGTTAATAAATATTAACGTTAAAAAATTCATTACCGCAACGCAAACGTTTCGATCTTCAATGTAATCATCTTCGAAAACAATTATATTAAAGACAAATTAAATATAAATAAAACATTATTTCTGATACATGTCAAATTTGGTTAATAAAAATTCGAAGCGCTTTACGGTTGTCCAAGATATAAAATTCGTAAATGAGAAAAGAGTCGCAATATTCGTCTTAAATAAAGTTGAATTGATAAAATTGTTTTTAACGATTGGATCAGATGTGACCATACAAAAACAAGTCCGATGGAATGAAGACCAACCGTGAAATTTGACATGGATGGGAAACTATTCTCACATCCATGTCAAATTTCACGATAACAGCTCCTGAGATATTTTACTTTACATTGGTTGTTTTCGTATGATTACATCTTATCCAATAATTAAAAATAATTTTATCAATTTTTATTAAAATATAATTAATATTTATTAAAATATATTTAACATATTTGCCATCTAACTTCAACTCGAATAATCTATTGTTTATACTCTTGATTTATTTTTACACAGAGCCTTTAACACTGCTATTATTAATTTTTTAATTCTAAGTAATATTTATAAAATGTTCCATCAATTTCTAAAAACGAAAAACATTTAATTTTTCAAAGTATTTTTTGCTTTCTATGCTTTTCTTTATTTAATTCATCTATCTCATACATTGCATGTTTCTCCACAAAATTTTTATGTTCAAGAAAACAATGCAAAAAAAATGCTGAGAATTACAAAATACGATTATACTTTTGAAATATAATTATAATTAAATCGATTGTCATTTATCAAATATAAAAGAGAGAAATGTTAATTTTAGGATATACAGATGTCTTCATAATTCGCAATATTATTTCTCCAGAGAGAAAATAGAATTTTCATAATATCGATCGTATATATGAAATATTTACCCCGTGCAAAATTCACTTTAATATAAATTGCCGCACTCACTTGGCCTAATTCTTCCGTGATATTCAGCGCGCGGCATTCCGCCTTACGGCCGGTTTCCGTGTCGTGGAGGGCCGGGTCGTGACCGATATGATACACCTGACCCACCTTGGCCATCTCGATCGTCACATACAGGCTCAGCGGTATCATCACTTGGAATATTATGATGAATGTCAGGAAGGTCAGCAAGCTCTCGTAAGTGGGCTCCTGCAGCACCGGCAGAAACGGCACCGCCGGCAAACCTGTGTACGCAGACAGCCAGAATCGGCAGCCAAACGCGCCGATCACGCACAGAATCACCAGTATCACCACGCACCACTTCACATCCCTGTTCATGTACCTCTCCAGACGGGAACGCTAAAATGCGTGCGTTGAAATCTTAGAAAGACATCTCTTTAATACTAGAAGCGAATTTCAAACTTTGTTGATTCATCTTTAATCGGATCTTCAGTTTTTTTAAATCAATTAATTTTTTCCGATAACGAAAATAAGACTTCCAAATTTTATTATTAATACGATAAAAGATATTAATTTAAGGAATAAAAATAATCAGAAACTGCTTCATAATCAGAGACTGCTTGGTAATTTTAGTATATAGTTTTTCTGGTAAATGAAAATAAGACTTCCAAATTTTCAAACTTCAATATTTTTTATGAGATCGGCCGGTACCAGTTCGTTGTTCGAGAGGTGAACCAGGTCAAAAAGAGTAAAGCTCCAGAATATTCCAAAATCGTATCTTTAATACGAAAAAAAGGAAGCATTTGAAAGCATTTAAAAATGATTAGAAATGAGATTGCTTGATACTTTTAGTGTTTGTTATGTGTATTATTTATTCAATCATTTGATTATTGTCAGTTGAATTATTCATTTCCTTTGGCGCTTACCTTGTATCTGGGTCCACCATTGTTCAGTAACGCTTTGGTCTCGTGACCGGCGTATATGACTATACCCTCGACAAAGTCTGTGTTCTTTAAAACGCATTCCCTGAGTAAAAGATTTTCCGTCGATACGGGCACCCTGCCGCCGTTCGGGTGCACCACGGCGCCATGAAACCTAACAGACGCGTCAATGGGATCACTCTGATAATCTGATTAATTCCGTTTAAACGTTATCATGGTAATAAACGGCGTTTTGCAATTAGCATTTGTCAGATAAATCGCGAAAACATCCAATCAAAGGTTCCCGTTATAAAGAGCGAACAATAAAACGTGTTAAAAACGGCCAGATTAGTTTTATCGAAATCGACGACTTGTTTAAAGTGGTCTTTTGGAAATTTGGCGAAAAAGTAAAATAGCTTTTATATTTTTTTTAATACATGTCAGAATATAGAAATAACTGTTGAGTATTTACCTATATATTCTAGTGCTTGGCTGATCGACCTCGACTACCGATCGGAACTTGGAAGGCTGGAAGGTATCCTGCAGGTCGAGAAAACCCCTGACCACCTGGCGCTGCTTCAGGTTCGACTCGCCGTCGAGATTGCACGTATCGAGGTAAGCTAATCCCTGAGGATCACTGCTTCGCAGAAGTAAGAGATCGGCCGGTACCAGTTCGTTATTCGAGAGGTGAACCAGGTCACCCACCTTGACATCCTTCCATGCCACCTTCACGTATCTGTCGCCCTCGCTACAACGAAACCGTGAGAAATCTCGTCAAGAAACTGCGGCTCGGTTAGTTTTAAACGTTACTCGGTTAGTTTTAAACGTTACTCGGTTAGTTTTAAATGTTAGCGTCGGAGAACGCTGAAAGATTAATTCTGCAGCGTTGCGACGAGCAATTAAATAATAATACAATTAAAAAGTTTATACGAATAAATAAATTACTCTACGATACTTCTTAATTTCATCACTTTGCTATTACGTAAATTACATTTTGCGGCACAACTTCGTAATAAAGATCTGATTGTACGCCCGATGACTAAGAGAGAGACTGTAAATTTTCCCTAATAGAACGCAGTTTGTTTCATTTAATATGGACTTGCGCGTGTCTCATTAATATGCTCCAGTTTTCACTAAACTGATCAAGCAATTTTGATATCTATTTTTTATTATACATATTGTTATATGTGAGATAAAAAAATTTATATATATTTATTATATATAATAACAATAATGGTTTTAGTTTCGTTATTATAATTACTATTTTTTTCATTATTCCATTATTACGATTATTAATCTCTTCGTTTTAATTATAATTTATTTCAAATAATTCTTTTATATTATTATCTCATTATTAGAACAAAATAAAAATTATCTATTTTTTTGCACGAGGCGGAATTAAATTCGATGAGTGAAGTTATACACAAGATCTTATTTGACGAAAGCAATCCGACAAATCCTCGTATCGCATAAGAAAATTCGTAAGACTACGCTGCTGTCGTCACCAAAAATGAACATGCAGCTTCGAACGCAAATGTTGTTAAGATCGAAACAAACTTCGTTTGCTTAGTGAGACATGCAATTCATTTAGCAATAAGTAATTATTATTTACACATCGACCGAAACGGAAAATTGATCTGTTTGATATCATCGTGAGTAACGAACAATACGGAAGATTAAAAAGTTAATAAAAAATTCTTTGTTGACCTTTCTCTTGATTTAATTGAACATATCGAATATTAAACCATGAATTGTCTATGAATTGTGTTCGACTTCAACCGACTCTCTATATCTATCTTAAATAACTAAGGATTAATACACGAAATATTGATACGCGAAACGAAATCAAATTACGAAAAAACCTCGTGAAAATATAATTTTCCTATTATTCTCCGAGTTTCTTGTCGGCGACGGATAGGCTTAGGGGCGACCTTGCATGACTAATTCGAGTGTTCAAAAGATAGATTCATCTCTTTCTCGAGTACGCTCTCGGTGTGACGAAACGGCTGGTTACGGTATTTCCTTAATTGAAACACACGGAGGGAGTGATGCCCAAGGTTGGGCGACCTTGAACGCCATTCTCGCTTGATCGGAACGAAATTGAGACGACGACGGGACGATCATCGGAAAGATGACCTTCGAGAGCCTGTCGGTCCTCGCCGCGAGGCGAGATTCTTGAAGAGGACAAATCGTTTCCGACGTTTTCAAACGCGATGAATTCGCGAATGGCGAACGGAATTTCTTTCGAGAGAATATCGCTCGTCTTCGCAAGGTCGTGTGACATTAGACAAGACTAAATAATGCAAATTCTTCCGTCCGCCTTGGAGGATAATGGGAAGAAAGAGAGAGACTCCCGTCATTCTCGCTCTCGCTCTTTTGCTCTTTTGTCGAGTATGACGTAAATTATTGTAAATGAACGTCTTACGCATATCGCGTATCGTATCGGTGTCACGATTAAGCGGTGTTTCCTTTTTGTCATGGATTTGTGCCTCGCGAGAGAAACGACGTGGGCATTCGTGGCGCGAATGAGCTAATTATGTCATTACATACGCAACGTCTGTCTGATGTTATAATCATCGCTATATACGCGATGTAGAAATGGCGAGCTAGAAATCTAATTTCTGATTCCATGTAATTCGTCCGCGGATATATGACAATGCCAAAACCATGTAAAAACCATGTTCATCCGGCGTAACAGGCTGATAAAATACATAACAGGTTTTTCTGCACGATGCCGTGTGTTACGTAAGCGACATAACTGCGTTTCTCAGGATATTCAAGCGGAGCGATTAATTCGCCGTAATTGTAATTTGCCGTATTTAGCAATTCCTAAAATAAATTTGCCGATTTTCCCGGATTATACATATATATTTTTTTCCAATTGTACGTATTCTGTCAATTGTACGCATCACATATGGTGGCACCGCGTTTGTTATCGCTGCCCGCAGAATAATTTCAGGATAACAACTTTTAACCGCGCCAGAATTACAAGCGATAACGAGTCACTCAAGGACTTAGCATTATATTTCATTCTTATCAAAAAATTCGCAGAATTTCCAGACGGAAAAACTTTAAGTGTGTCAATTTAGCATCTTGCCGTTCTCTTAATATTGTTGTTACTCGACTTTCGAGTACGATTATGATTTTAAATGATCATGAGGTAATCAGTGTGATACGAGATTTCTTACATCTATCTATAACAATTGCAATTTTTTTAAATTTAATTTTTATATGGAAACAATTTTGTTACAAATCTTTTATATTTACACGTAACTATTTTTTTTGCAAGATGTTTTCCAAATTAAAAAAATATTATTAAATTACAATTTTTTAAATTGGCTAAAAGCTATGAACGTATGTTTTGATAAGTCTAAAATTTATTAAATTAAAACAAATGACAAACTATTAATATTTATGAATAAATTAAAAAAAAATTCATTCCAGCTTAACGAAAGAAGTTATGATAAATCTTATTTCATCCTGTTTCACGCGCTAGAGAGCGGAAGAGATTATATTTGCAGTTAAAACGCGCGTTGTTCAAACATTTATAATTATCTCCTTTCCGCCGAATGGCTGCATTCAAGTCTGGAATATCCGACGAAATCACGTCTATATACGGATTTGCTTGTCACTCATCGATATTTCAGGACCTCGAGCGCATTTCAGAGAAGCGATAGCTAAGAAGCAAACATACGCACTACGTACATATGTTCACACCCGCATCGCGATACTCTCTCGTAATGACGTAACCAATGACATCACTCGCCGGTTTAACGGCAAGCTCCGAAAGCTTTACAAAAGGAAAAAAAAGGTATCGAATACAATGCCTTTTCGCCTCGATTTTAACCAGACTTGTCTCAGATTCGACCGAAATCCTGCACGCAACTGTGTGGTAACAATACGCAAATAGAACGGCCGGGAGAACATGATCACTATGTCGGATGATATTCCAGAGTTGTTTATGTTACGAAATATATATTGGGATATATCGGTATATGTTGGATATATATTGGTTTCGACAATAATTCTCGGGGAGGAAGGCTTCTAAAGTGGGATGTTGAGTAGGCGGTCCTACGGCTTCGGATTTAGGAGAAGTTCCAACGTGATGGCATACTCAGCGTCTGTTATGCCGATGAAACTATCAGCGAAGGTCAATAGTTGTACATTTCGCACAATCGATGTCAAATAGGCGAGGCATGTGCGATGATTAGCGGCTCGCATTCAATGCTTGCAACATTTGTCCCGATATAGCCGGAGAAATTTTCATCTCTTTTTATTTATTCTCTGGTGATCCGTTCGTGGAATAGTATTTTAAGCCATTCTTGCTAAATCGTGATAAATTTAATTGAACGATCATAAGTCGAAGGGAGTCATACACGGAAGAACAGTTTTGTTGTAGGAAAAGAATTTGATTAGATACAGATCTGAAAAAATAATTTTGTTGGGCTATAAAAATTATTATTATGTATTTAATATTGCAAAATTTGTTTATATCCTATCAATCAATTTACATATTTACATAATTATTTTGATGGCCCAACAAAATTATTCTTCAAATCTATATCCAGCAAAATTGTTCTTTCCACGTGTTTATGTCTATCAATGTAGATTAAATTCAATTTAATTTATTTTCTTTTCCTTTTTTCTTTGTTTCCTTCATCCTTTCCTTATTTACCTTTTTACATTTAAATTCTTAAAATTAAAAGAAAATAAAAAATAAATTAAATCGCAATTAAAATTAATCTACATTCGCAGAAGTGGACATGAGAGAGAGTATTTCATTATCAATTTTTGTTATCAAATTAAAAATAAAATCTTAACGAAGTTGAAATAGAATACGGAAACCTTATTACGTCCCTTGATTTGTGGATATTTGGATTTATGGAATAGAATAGTTCATTTTCAGAGGTTTGAAGCCAATCATATAGAGAAACAAGTAACTAAATCAAGAGTTGAATTAAACAGAGATATAGATTAAATAACAATTATGTAGTAAATTATGTAGTAAATTATTATACAATCATTGTTAAAAGTTTCATTGAACAAATCATGCGAATGGAGAGAGAAATTTCATATTAAATGGCAAATTATTTAAATCGATTATTAACGAAAAAAAATAGAATAGATTTGATTTCGCGAGTTAGGAAAACTATAATTCCGATTCAAGTTGTACACATATATGTATATATGCGTAAGCATTTCCGAAAAATATGGTATATTATCTGTCGAGGGCGTGAAAGATGAGGCACATAATTGCAATAAAAAAAAATGTCGCCGATAGTCTAACAAGCGGAATCGACAGATTGCATGGCACGCGTCGTGAGACGAGATAAAAAGGGGTAATGGCAATAAATACGAATGTCAAGGCCTTCGGTGCACGAGACGGATTAGAATCGACCTGGCCGTGAGTGCAGGAGGGAAAGAGAGACGGGCAGAGAGAGAGAGAGAGAGAGAGAGAGAGAGAGAGAGAGAGAGAGAGAGAGAGAGAGAGTGTCG